ATTGCTGGGACTATACTGGGAGGGCTTTCACAGAAATAATTTTTCTTTTAGAGACTGGTGGGAGGATGTGTGCAACAGCAAGAAAGCTCATAGACTGAGGGAGAGATTGTCTATTTCTGCTTTTCTGCTATGGAGAATCTGGAAAGCTAGAAATAATCTAGTGTTTAGAGGAGATGAATTCCATATTGTGGAGGTGGTTAATGGCACTAGAAGAGATTGGGAGGAGATGTTGAACAGTTCTTCCGGAGAATCAATGCAAGACACTATTCAAGTTCCCCAAATTCAACAGCTAGGGGAAGAGTTTTCCAAGAGGGTATGAGTTGTTTTTATACAAGTCAATGCTCTACTTTCCTCCAGAGGCTGTATTAGGGCTGACATGGTAGCTGCAGATGATGATGGGCTACAGTTTGAAGCTGCAGATGAATGGGAGTGGACAGGCACTCAGACAGAAGCTCAATTGTTAGTGCTTAGGTGGGCTTTGAATTTGGCTACACAGAAAGGGTTGAAAAATATATGTTGTAGCCTGAATTCAGAAAGCTTGGTGAAAGACCTCAATGATGACTATCTACTTCCATCTGAAAGTAGCTTTAATACTGTTTTGGAGGACATTTCATTGTTTAGAGAGTGGTTTGTTGTTTGTGTTTTTCAGTTTATTCCTTTTGTTACTTAGACTTTGGTTCTTGTTTTGCTTGTCTTGTTTTAGAGTTTTAGTGTTTTTTCTTCTTGCTTTAGCCTTGTTGGCCGTGGAGGGGGAGTGTTGTACTCTCTCTCATGTTAGTAGCCTGCAGTTGTATAGTTTAGTGTTGGCTTCTTAGCTGTTCAGTTGAACTTTCGGTTGTAATCTTTTTGAGGTAATATTAATATCATTTTCGTTGGAAAAAAAAAAAAAATAAAAAAAAAAAATCCATGGAATCACAATTCTATTAGGATATATTAGTACCACTGAACAGGTTTAGCTTATCTAGTGGGCTCCTCCTCCTACCACTAATTCTATTAGGATAGAATATCCCATATCTGTTATGGTGCGCTTCACGTGCATTGGACCGCACCCGTCACCACAGATTACAACCGAATTCAAACGAAATTTCAGTGTCACAACAGAAAATATTTCGCTATAAATTTATTTTTCTTACGGAATTTGATGATTTTGTTTGTTGATTTTATTGACAAGAAAAATATTTATTCCAACAAAACTTTCTTCAACAAAATACCATAGGAACAATGGGTGTGCTGATAGGGATCCTAACCCGGACAAGGCTAAATGAGTCCGAGGCAAAAATGATGATGTGGGCATTGGAGTTGATAGCCCTTGAATCTCTCCCAAGCTTCGTGAAATATTTCACTGATGTTTTGGCTAAAGCTAGCCATTTGGGTCCGGAGATCGGTGGTCTTTTGATGCGAGTAGTACTTTCCCATAAACTTTTCATACACGGCTTCCCAATTTGTGAGCGAATTCGGGAGCAACGTCATAAACCAAGTCTTGGTGATCCTTCAACGTGTAGGGAAAGCATCTCATCCGGAGTTGGTTTTCGGTTAGGCCTTGGAGTGGGAATGTGTTGACAGTTGCATAGAAGTCTCGGATGAAGTTGAGGGCATCTTCTTGTGCTAAGCCGTAGAATGATGGAAGTTGGTTTAGGTGGATGGTCTTGAGATCATAATTTCGGGCCGCCTCCCCGAGCACAAGACATGAAGTGTTGTCTCCAATGATAGGCCGTGCAAAATATCTCATGTTCGGGGGAGGTGGTGGTGGCAATTGGTCTTCTTGTCCCGCCATTGATTCGGTTTCGGGTTCCGGTTGTGGTTCCTCAATATTAAGCTCAACGAAAAGGTCGATCGATAGTGTCTCCTCTACGGGTGCACGCCTTCGTCTACCTCGCATAAACACCAACAACAACTATACCCGTGAACGCACCAATGTGAAACAAGGTCAAACACGAGCAACAAAAACAAATAAGTGACAAAAAGCAAGAGAAATCGAGAGAAACCCGGAAATTAACCAAGGTTCACAAAAATCAAGAGAAACACAAGAAAAAGAGACAATCAAATAGCAAACTAGGCGTCCTACTTGCCTTTCCCGGCAACGGCGCCATTTTGTTGAGTATAAATTTGATGGGCATGTGGTAACCGAGGTACCCGACTCGGGTCGTTCTCAAAGGAAGGCTCTTCGGAGCTTCGTTCACTACCTAGTCGTCAAAGTTACACAACTAAAAAGATCCTAAACATGCTAATCGCTTGAATTGAGGGTTGATTTAAGCTAAGCTAATCTACGAAATTGAAATCGAAAGCAAGTAAAGCACGCAAGAGAGAGATCAAGGGGGAAAGAGAGACTTTGGTTCACCGGAGTCATCATGATCAAAAGCACGCAAAAATCCAACCAATTGCCATGTTCGCTAAAAACCCTAGGAAGTCAAATCAAACTCTAGCATGAATCGAGCAAGAATTCAACTCCTACCACACTTAGTCAAACATTCATGATCCAAAGCAACAATCTTTTCTTCCAAAATCTCAAGCACAATATCAATTTAACAAAGCAAGAAAGATATACGAGGTAATGGGGCTTAAGACTAAGTTACCCACTCCAATATGCACTCGGGAGAAGAAACAGAATCAAAAGCTTGAAACTTTGCTCAAAACAATGTCGCCGGAAGTTCGCCGGAAAACTTGATTCATAAAGCTCCAAACCAAAATAAAAA